TAATAATACAACTCATGTTTACAATTAATTATAATTTTTTCATAATCTTCTGCAAATCCCAATATCTTGTTCAATGCTATAGACACGGATAACGCTCCACCACTAGTATCGCTTGTACCGCCAGTTGACCAGCCCCAAACTCGAGCACATTTGGATTCATTTTCATTTAAGGATAGATAAGATCTTATTGTAGTAGTGACACCAGCATTCTTAATTTTATCTATTTCTACTCCATTAAGTTCATATCGTATGTCTTGAAAAAGAAATAGCACGGGATTATTGACAAAATGTACGTTTGATACCTTTTCTTTTGTGGTGCTGTTATAAACGTTCACCTTTCCCTCGATATATAAACTACTGAGTGAAGGTAGTACGTACAGGTCTTGTTGATTAATAGGAATACGTATTTCGTCATTCTTGTTAAAACTAGTTACATATGGTTTGTATGAATGATACTCAAAACTTTCAATGCTGTTATCGGTTGATGTTTGTTGAGATACGTTTAAAATATTCATTTTATCAAGCCAACTAGTTTAAGAAATTCTTTGTTAGACTTGGTGAGCTTCTTTTTTAGCTGAAGAGGTGTGCCTTTATGAGATGTTATTTTAAAACTGGCTTGGATACACGAAGTAGATGGGCTTTTATTGAAATTTATCATATTTTTTTTCGGAAATGTAAATACAGTTGTACTTCTTCACCTCGTAAATTTATCTCTTTATTCTCAGCGTTCAATAACTTTATATTGATAGCACTTATGGAACTTTGGTTAACAGGAAAATAAATCAAGTTTCTGAGTATTTCAATTATTCGATAACCAGGTGATACATTAGGTGCAAATTCAAAAATTATATGGCTTGCTTTCCCGTTGACAAATGAACCACTAACTATATCGCATTCATTCCGAACGATGGTTGTCGATAGAATACTGACAGGATACTTTGATTCAGTACTTATACTTGCTTTTATTTTTTCCATACCAAAGCCTAAAATTCTATTAAAGTGCACATCTTCAGTAATTTCATTCATCTTCAGTAAGTTCAATAGCAAAAACTATTTGTGTTCAATTTATTATTGTTACAAGTTAGTTTTAGTACAGCATTCTTAATATTATTTTTTAGATAATCACAAATATCTAGACGCTCGTAAGACCCTTCAGGAATATCGATCATTTCTTTTTCACCATAATAAAATTTAGTGTTTCTTTCATCTATATTGGGAATAGAATTGAAAGCTGAAAAATACAAAAGGTCACATTCGTAGTCTCCTCGTAGTTCCATTGTCGGTGAATAGATCGTTGATAAAGAGGCTCCTGTCCCAGTTATGGACACAGTGAAAGACATTTTTATACTGATACGTTTATTTATTACTATACACTATATAAATGCTTTTTTCCAGTAATTCCTTAAAAATTTTAGACAAAGATGTCCACAGTTTGTAGCACCAAACGCTTGATGTCGCGCATAATTATAGTTAATAGGTAAGTTATGCATATATTTAACTAATTCTAACGGGCGCCTTAAATTACCAAAACTATCATAATTTCTACGTATTTATTGTGGTTTACAAAGGCTACCCAATGCGTTCCAGAATTTCTGTAGCTATCCAAATTCAGTATTCCACATTCTATCTTTCTCGGTTTCAAAGGTAATTTATTTCTCATGAAAACGCCGCAAAAGTATGGAATGTCACTTGCATGTTCTAATATGTCGAGATTAGTGAGCTCCCGTCTGGGTAGCCGTTTAATTAGTTTTTTGAGGGGTTAAGATATAAACCTGCTCCTTGTTTATGAGGTTTAATATATAATCCTTTTCCTGTAGCAACGGCTTCCATCATTCTGTTGTGTCTTTCAGATTCCTGAAGACTCTTTTGTGCTGCTTTTGAATCATTAGCAGCTTTTGCTACACCCGCTGCTCCACCGGCTAATGATCCTAAAGCTGACAATCCTGCAAATATGGGAATAAGTGGCAAAAATTCTCCACATATTGGAAGAGGAATACAACGGGGTAAACTTATTCCTTTTTTATTACTAAATATTTTCTTTGCAGCTGCGTAGGCATATTTTATAGCCGAGTGACTGTCTTTGGATTTTAGTTTTTTCAACTGAGACTGTATTTTATTATATCCCCTTCTTAAATGCTTTTATACCGCTCCCCACCCGGATTTTCGCTTTCATCGCATGTTTGACTATCCATAAGGCAATATTTTCTCCTTTCCTAGCATTTTCTGATTTCAATCTCCTCTTAGCCATTTTCAAAAGTTCTAAATCCGCTTTTTATCGAGCGCCTGAATCTTTGTTAGTGTAAGCAATATCATGGAGCATGCACGCTTCATCCAATTTGTTTATCCCACGATCGCCTTTGAGCAACCGTTTTTGAAGTTTAGTTCCGGGGCCGCAAAATTGATAGCCGGGTAAATGTAACTCAAATGGTAAATTGTCTATTACTTTATTAATTATACAACTGCCTTCCTTCATCGATAAGTATAAAATGAGATTATTAAGTAATAACACGTTATTTATATACCTAAACCACTAATTTACTTTTATCCACTATTTTCTTCATCACTCAAACCTAACCATTTTACTAAAAGCTTATTTCCTTTTCTTTTAATGACTTTTTCAGTAAGATAAATGTCTGGAAATTTAGTATTTTGTAATTCGTAACCGTAAAAGACAATGTATTGTCCTGAAATTGATAGTAGTCAATTTTTCTAAATTGTTAAGGTACTTTTTGACATTATCGTGAATTGTTTTCATTTCATTTTCAAGTTCTTGACACATTTATCCACATATTTTTAACTCACAGTCTCATCCTCTTTTTCAGGAGTTTGCAGTCCTTTTAATCTTGTTGATTTCAAATCAAAATCACCAGCGTCTGTTCTTACTAAAGCGTCACTGAGAATATCAGAGCATTCAGATAGTCGTAAACGCTTATGAACATGATGACCAAATGTGTCTATATTCATAGCCGTCTTATCGGCTTCTGTAATGAAATCGTACTGCGTAATTCTCCTGTAGGCAGTTTAATATATTTAATGTATTTTATGGTGTCAGATTCATGCAATTCTTCCACTATTGCATAAATTTCATTGTAAACCCCTGTGTTACCAGCTGCCCATGATCCAAGTAGTAATTTTTATCGTTCCACTAACTCGTTTGGATCGTTCCAATAAATTTGGTTTACTGGAACGATCCAAACGAGTTAGTATCTTTTTTAACTTCTTTTAAAATATCAACTCCTTCTCCCTTTGGAAGACTTTCTGCACTACTTTTATGATTTCTCTAGTGCTTAAAAAATGGTTTGATCACTTGCATATATTTAAATCCTTTGTTACTGCTAATCGGTTTGGATGGATCATAATTACGTTTGTGTGCATTAGTATGCAAAAGTAACAATTTATAATTTTGTAAATCTTCCTCTGTCACAATATCTAAATTAAAACTATGATTTCCAATTTTTAAGATATGATTATTATCATAGACACGAAATGGGCCGAGCATTAGTTTCCCACGTTCATTTCTGACACCATAAGGCACATCTTTTAGTAATTCAGATGACATAGTCCATGATAATTAATCATTTGCAATACTTGGTGTTGATTGATGTGATTTAAACGAAATTTCATTCGCGTCATTATCATCCGCAGGAAGCGAGTGAGTAAGGGTTTTGTAGGATGTTGTATAAACATTGTTATCTGAGTTTTCTTCATTATTAACAGGATCTTCAATGATGATTCACTTGTGCTGTGCTTAGGTTTTTTAATAAGGTGAGCTTGGACTGTATCTTCAATTAAATGCTGCTTTTCTTCAGTTTTTCTGTTAAGCATATTAAGTGGATTAACTATAGGCTTAAATATTGTTTCCAAAGCCAGACTGTTTGTATTTTTTGCATCTTTTATCATTTCTACCTTTCTTTTTACAGCTGCAGCAGATTTTACAATTTGTTTCTTGAGGTCTCGCTCCATTGTAAAGGAATTGTACTATGTTTGACTACTCAGCAGAAACTGATTGCTTTGTGACATAACAGCTATATAAACGTTAGTCTAAAATTATATTATGTATTTATGTAATTATGTTGTGTATGTTAATTAGGTAATTATGAATGTATCAAACTTCATTCTGTAACAGCCTTTATTTCGTTCACAGTCTTTATTTATAACAATATAATTGCAAGGTTTACTCCACACAGTTGAACACATTTCCCGGAACTGAGACCATGTGATGTCAGACCCTGCATGCTTGTCATAAATGTGTCTCAGATTTACGTCATCTTGTTTAAACATTATGATCAGGTTAGCGTTATCTCTAACTAGTTGCTTAGCTATCTTAGTATACGTTTGATTAATATAAAAACAGTCAATGTTCTTATGTCGACCCATGGCGAAATAATCGCGTATGTTGTTCTGATTTTCACAAGCTACATCGTCAAATATTATAATTGAGTTAGGCGAAGCTTCGCGTGGACTCGCTATTATGATTATACTTGTAATAAGATATACCTTCCATATTTAGCGAAACCAGAATATTTTTTTGTAATTTATGACATTTTGTTATTATTAAAATGAGAAATTGGGCTGAAATAATAGGATATACTAAAAATCGTAACGTATGTTTTTGTAGTTTTTACCGGCGGGAGTACACCGATGCCATTTTCAGTCCCATTCTTTTACCACACGGGTAGTACCTTTAAAATTTAGAGCAATACCATGAGTGATGTAGACTATATTTTATCCGAAAAATATGCATTTTTGTGTAATCGATTTTTTTATGTAAAACGATTTTAATTTTTTTTTAATTACACACCATTTTACAAAAAATGGATGTCTGAGGTACAATATAAACCATTTAACGATTATCTTTCACCATGGTATATTCTCTTACTTTATAAAAATAGCTTAATGGTCAAAGCATCCAAATATATACATATAAGCCGTTAAATCAATTCTTCCATTTGTCTGCTGTCGTCAATAAAACTATGTCCTGTGTTTAATTATTTTATTTTAATCCTTACGATCTATTTGCCGATAAAATATGTACAATATTAAACTTTATATGATGATAAAATGTTTGTATATTTGTAAGAACTTTTAAATACCGTGGAATTATTTTTAAGTTGAGACATGTCTAATTATTACTATTATACAGGTTGTAATTAGTATAAATATAAATTACTTATGCCCTAAAATTGCAGCACTATTGACAAACACTTTTTTTTGATAATTATTTTAATTAATTACTGCTACACTTAAACATTATATGGAATAATATCGTAATACAAACTATACATGTTTGTTTTTTATATCTAGTGTTTAAACCTAATCTTTTTACACGGCTTATTAAACGCTTTCTTATTAATTTTACCTGTTTCTATCTATTTAAGTGTATCTAAATGTAAAGGGATCTAAAATTAGCCATTTCCAGAAGTCTGAATAATCTAAAATTATGCAGACGTATTGATAACTGACAACGATACAAACATTTCATTATTATGATCTCTTTCTTGATTCTTATTAGGTACAATCACAGCTTATGATAAATGTGTATTGTTTATGTTTTTTAACTTTTACTAACTTATAATATTATTATTTATATTTGAATGAGATATGTAATGTACCCAATGTATCATTATTTATCTATTCTCATTAACAATTGCAATCACTTTGTCCAGCAAAGTCGGCCTATTCTAGTATCGCTGTAATAAATTAAAGCTAACAATATTTATACTATCAAAATTAAATTTCTACAATTTATCCATAGAGTTAAGTAGGAGGCCCATTTCCTGGTGAACTTCCTTAAGCAGTTCCTTCATTTGTCTCGGTGAGTCCAGAATGTCAATGCTCTGTGTGTAAGGATTATATCTTACTCCAAAGTCACGAGGTATGGTTTGAGCGAATTTACTGCAAAAAAAAATTCAAACACAATTAATGATATATTTTTTTTTTAATTTTAAAAAAGTAATTGTGTATTTGATAATGATTTATAAATGTAGTTCGTAGGCAAAATACAGCAGCTTAAGACGTCAAGTTAATAGTCATGTATGAAGGGTTTAATCGAATTATAAGAGGAAACTATCTGTATTCACAAAGAGTCCATTGAGTCATTTTAAGATAGCGTTACACTATATTAAACACATCCGCTTTGTGCTGCTCAATTCTGTTGTTTTTTTTGCGATAATTTCTGCAACATTATACTGTTCACACCGTTACCATATAACATACCTTATAAGACTTTAAGAAAATTAATTAATTTAAATCAATTTTGACAGAGAGAGCGAGATGGAGTTATATCCGTCTCCCTCGCACTTTCTCTTATCTTGCCATAAAATAAATATTATTTTATTTTAAATGACGCTTTATTTTAATTGAAGCTAGTAATTCATTTATTTGTATTTACAAAAAAACGTTATCAATGATAATATACTACGAAAGGAACTTCGTTCCAACCAAGTGTTCCACGACACTCACGCATGATTTTTTTTTTTAGTTTATCTTTTATGTTTCTTTTTTCATCATTTGAAAAGATATTTCTGCGCCAACCATAGTTCATTTATTTAGTACTAGAATATATCACACCCTATGGAAAATACTTCTTTCTTACACAACTAATATATAAAATGTCACATCAACCAAACTTACATCATTTTGTCCTTAGCGTTTTCGAAGCTCTCCGCGACGTAGTATACGGGTTGGTACTCTGTGATGGGATACTTTTGTCCTCCTGTAATCTCTGGTTCGAATTCCCTCAACTCGGGCTTATCTGAGAGGCAATACTGCAGCTCACCAAAAGATGATAGAAGTCCGGCCCCAAATGCTTTCAGTTTACCTTCTTGTCTACATAAACCAAATTCCACCGTAAACCAGAAACACTGTGAAGCAAAACAATGTATTTTTATTTTATTTATTCTTTTATCTGCAGTTTGAACTCCTAACGGGCTCAACTGATACTCTATGACATACGTTACTCACATATGTATTAGGAGTTTCAGATGTATAGTAACTATTTACATAATTGCATACGAACAAACTTCCAGACCCGAGACAATTATGGTAGGCCATACAAATATTATGTTTTTTATACAGGTTAGGTCATACATTTTTGCACTTGTGAAACCTGAATAGAAATAAAACTAAAAATGTTATTTTGTTGATCATTTATTTAACGTAATAAACGTTTAGAAAAATTTATTTTTTAAGAACTGAGAGATGTGCCCCGTCTCGTCGTTGGCACTATTGCAATCGACTACGCAAACTTTGAAAAATTGCGGACACATACTGCTAGGGATCGCGGATATCTCCTCGTTGATGTTTTCTTTTAATTGGGATACATTTGTCGGTTTATTACGGTGCGTACACATTATATTATAACATAACATGTTATAAAACGTTATATAACATGTTTCAGTAATGTGGAGGCTGAATGTAATAGAACGTGTTATATAACGTGACGCAAATGTTATTTAACTCGAACGGCATAACGGCAAACGACAATGTCATACGAAAATGTCATTTAACATTGTTATATTGAATTGTTATTCTAATGTGTACAGTATAGTTATATGTTGCAATGTTGAAAAACAGTGTTACATAATATGGACGTGTTATAAAACAAAAGTTACACAACATGTTACTTAATCTGTACGCACCCTTAGGGTACACTCGACTTTTCAGCTATCCCCACAAAAAAAATCGCAAGGTGTAAGGTCTGGACTTCTTGGTGGCCATGGAATATCACCTCTGCGAGAAATCAATTTGTTAGGAAACATTTCTTTGACCACCGGTCAAGTCACATTTGACGTATGGCATGTTGCTCCATCTTGTTGCATCGAAGTCCTGTTGTTGTTACCTTCAACGTCATGTACTGTGGCATCAAAAACTCTCGCAACATCTTCACGTATTCCACTGAGTTCACAGGTACGTTATTTCCTTGATTATGTTCAAAGAAATACGAGCCGATCATGCCCTTTGCTGATAAGGCAACCTATACTGTCGTTTAGGTGAATGAAGTGGCATTAGGTGTTTAAGGCGAGGGTTTTCTCTGCTCCAATATCGACAATTGTGCTGTTTACGTGCCCATTGATGTGAAAATCAACCTCGTCCGTAAATAATACATTCTCAAGGTTAGAGAATCGCTCCAGCGTAGTGTCAGCCAATAACTTACGTTGAATATAATCGTTTGGTTTCATTTCCTGCACAATTTGAAGCTTAGATGGGTGTAGTTTGAGGTTCATAATTCGCCGCAGACTAGTCCTTGGTATTGCCAAAGCTGTCGAATGCTTATGCGTAGATGATTCTGAATCGTTCCTTACGGAAATTTCAACGTCCCAAATGATCTCATCGCTTCTTTTTGAACGTGGTCGCCCTGTTTGTTTAATATTCGTTGTCGATCCCGTTTGCTCGAACTTCTTGACCCAAGCGTTGATTAAATGAACACTTGGACACTCACTTACATGACATAGTATTAAATTCTAAATAGACGTCGTGCAGTAACGTAGGAATCATTATTTTTGTAAAATTGTTTTACACAAAAAGCACGCTGTTGTCCCGTGAAGCGCTCCATCGTGACTAAAATTGCGTAAGACGACGCAGAATTCCCCGCTACCCGCGTGCCCCTCCCTCTAACGGTTTTCGAGAAATCAAGTGTTGTTTATTGCAAAAAAAAAATTAAAATGAGGGTGTCAATCGAGTACACAGTCCACCTGATGGTAAGTGGATACTGTGGCTCATATACATCTACATTTATCCTTGATTAAGAGTCAAAATGCAAAATGCGTTTCACATTTGTATATTTTTTTTTATAGGATAGGATGATAAGCGAGCACACAGTTCACCTGATGGTAAGTGGTTGCTGTGACCTGTTGCGGTATTCTGTGAGAGCGTGGTCCTTCCCCGGTCGAGCTGACTCATTCGGGCTACAACTATACCACCAATATAGCTGCAGCATGGCTCTACCACGTATAAATATGTTTTGGAACTTCTTTTCGGCACTTTTCTTTGAATATTTCTGCCACCAATTAGCAGTGCTTGCACTGCTGTGTTCCCGCCTAAGGTATAAGTTATAGATAAAGAGACAGTATAAATTACAGGCTTTGAGGCATTCCCTTTTTGTCCACAGAGGTGACGACGCAACTGTAGCCTTTTTTGTTGGAAGTTGTTTGCAAGTATCCATGGACTGTAGTAACCACTTACCATTGGTCGGTGCTGGGCGTGTTGGTAACGGAGATAGTGCACGCAATTGAGGGAGGGTAGGAGGTGCTCTTCAAACTGGGCAGGATCCATCGTTTTATTTCATTACGCGGAAAAAAGCAAATTAAGTTACAACTAAGTACAACTTTAACGTCTGTAAGTTTGTTTCGTTCCTCACTTCAATTTTATAAAAAACTAGCTGTTCCCCGCAAATTCACCCGCGTGGAGTTATTTTTCGCGGAACCATATAATAAAAGCAGCCCAAATTATTCCTTATAACATCAGCTATCTGCCAGTGTGTATAAATATTGACTAATATTGACATTAATATTTATACGGTACTAAAGTCATTCAATTGTTTTGCCTTCCCGGAACCCCTCCACTAACACTTAAACTCTATGGTATGGTATTAAAGTTCAAATTGACTTTTAAGTATTATTACGAATCTTTTGTATGTGAATATAGAAAAGTTTTGTTGTTAGACTTTTTCAGTCAATTTTTTACATTTTTCTCTACGTAAGAACCATCTTCGTACTTCAAGGAATATTATAAAAAAGAATTAGCGAAATCGGTTCAGTTGCTCTCAAGATTTGGGCTTAGCAACACATTCAGCGATTCATTTTAATATTATAGAAGAAGATAACATGTATGTCATGTAATTTTGGAAACCATTTAATTTTTTCGTTTGTCACCCTTATTTTATTATAAGAAATTGAATTGTAATCACCGTTGCAAGTTTTTCAATGTAGTCATCCGGTGCTCCTAAAGACGCTAAGCCAATCTCTTGTGAAAACTGGGCAAATGCCGGATCAGCGAACAAAGGAGCATGTCCGAGCAGCTCATGGCACACATCTGGCTCCGGGGTGTAGAGTGGTTTCGAGTGATGCCTGATGTACTGAGTACTGTGGAACACGCGAAAAGCAAGTCCTGCTAGGAAATCGCGTGAGGACAGCAGGCCTGCCACTGGCCGAAGAGTAAACCCGGTGCAGTCTGAAAAATGACGGAGTTTTTGCAATACATAATTTTACTAATATGAAATTGTGTTTTTTGGATATATGCTCTTATCCAAAAAACACAATTTGTTTCTTTGTATGATGGATTAAAATAAACAATTTCATTGAAGTAGATTGTGTCGTCTTGTAAGACATGAAACAACTTTTTTCAATTAAAGCTTGCGGGTAACTACTTATATTATGACATCATAATCATTTATGAGTTATGACGTAAGAAATTATTCTTTAGATTTCAGATTGCGAAGTTTTATTCGGTCAATTCATTAATAGTAGCAAGTTGACTTTCATGATCGGGTTATGTATATTCTATATACCGATCTCACAAACACAAACTCACAAATTTTACTAGTATGTAATGTTAGCTGTAATCAGTACATAAAACTTGTTAAATACAACATTACCCTGGCTTACCTTTGAGGAAATTGGAGACATCTTCCAACTGAGGAATATTATCTTCCCTATATCCACAGTTCTCTATTAACAAAGGGAAAACATGGTTGTGTTCTTTGCAGGCGTGGGTCGGGTAAAGTTCAACGAGTTTCCTAAATACTGCACCCCACGTGGCAATCTCTTCTTTAGTGTAGTTCACGTGAGGCAGGGGCTGGCCGTGCTTGTAGTTGTAAGCAATGTCTGCGAAATACTTTCTACGCGCTCTGTATGTAGGGTCTGTAAAGCCGGGGTGATCTGCGTCCAACTCCGCACCATAAGAGAGGATCTGGTTAGCGAACCGATCCAGGTCGCGTATACGACGAGGGAACCATGGGACTGCAGCTGTTGATGAAAAATCTTTATAAAAAATATTTTATTAGTATAATACGTTTAAAAAAAATATTAGTTTTTTTAAAAATAGTTTCTATGTATACTACTGTAGTATATATAGAAGTATTTGTTTAGTAGAAAACCACTACTCAACACTTACATCTATTGTCTTTATAATTTCTTGAAATAATGTTCAAGTAGCCCACGTTCTTTTTCAGATCTTCCAAAGTGGCGCCAAAGTCACCGGCTCCGTGTTCACATTCAACCATGAATTCATAGCCAGGAAGTCTCGCTGAAGATCTTGATTCAATATGGCTGAGATTTACTCCATGGGAGGAGAAAATACTCAAGAATCGCGCTAGCGAACCGGCTTCGTCTTTTTCAGGGGAGAAGAGCAGCCATGTAGATTTGGAAGAATCTCTACCTTCTTTAATGTAGTTACCTCCTTGCATAAGTTTTGGCTGTAAATAAAAACAGAAAAAACTATAATATGTACTTAAACAACAATTTTTTAGTATTTGTTCGATGGTAAAATTAGACATCGTAAGGAATCTCTATCACTAAGTCAAAGTGACTGTGACACCACGATACTTAACGATACTTAAAATTGAGTATCGTTTGAGTATTTAGCAGTAAGAAATTAAAATATCATAAGTCCGCCTGGATTATAACCCTCACAGAAGTGAAGGGAGGCCTTAAAATATTATTGAGATAATATTGAGAGTTACAGTTATTATCGTTATATATAAAAATTACGTGTCACATTGTTTGTCCGCGATGAACTCGCTAAACTATTGAACTGATTTCAATGAAATTTTGTACACTGTGTGCAGTTTGGTCCAAATTGAGAGATAGGATAGTTTTTATCCCTATAAGTGATCCTCAATATTTTTTATTACGAATTTAAGATTTTTTATAGGACACAGCGTCGATGGTGAGGGCAGAACAACGTCTGCCTGGCCAGCTAGTAAATAATATAAATTAATTAAAAACTAGCGATCTGCCACGGCTTATCTTGAGTAGGATTTACTTTATCCAATTTTTGGTTTTTCAAAAAGAAATCTGCGAGTTTTTCAGATAAATTAAAGCTTAGATCACTCCTGGTATTGCTCTTTATCAATTTGTGAAGTTTCATTACAATCGGTTCAACTGTTACGAAGATCAGCCCGGACAGACAGACAGACAAACCGACAGTCTAAAATTTTGAAAATAGTTGTTTATGTCTTAATAGTAAGCAAATAACCACCTGAGCTTAACAGATTATTGTTTCGTTCAATGTTCAAGACAGACACTTCAATTTACTTATATGTATAAATTATTTAATAAAAGATATTAATCTATATATATATATATATATATATATATATATATATATATATATATATATAATTTATTTATAGATAAAAATATTCTTGGGTGTACGTTAAACCTCTGGTAGAATTAAAAGGTATGATACAAAATGATACAAATAATGAGTCAAAGATTTCAGTATGAACACGACAATAAGCGAACTTATAATAAAGATAACAAGTTAGCTCGAAATTCATGATAACCCCAGTCTGCGCTCGCAATGTCGACGCCCCTGAGCCTTGGGTAACAACTAACTTATAAGCTTTAATCTAGATGTTTTGGCTTTTAGCTTATCTTTAACCCTACTTATTTCGATAAGTTAGATGACTAGGGTATGTTTAAACTAGATCATGAATTAAATATGTATTTATAAGATTCAGGGCTGATTATTCAATCATCAAGTAAAGCTTACTCATAAAAATACAACAAAGACAAATTAAAAATTAAAGTTGTACGATATATTAATCTATAATATAAAAATGAATCGTTGAATGTGTTGCTAATCGCAAATCTCGAAAACAGCTGAACCGATTTGGCTAATTCTTTTTTTATAATATATAATATAATCCTTGAAGTACGAAGATGGTTCTTACGGACAGAAAAATTTAAAAAATTGCCTGAAAAAGTCTAACAATAACACTGTTCTATATTCCCATACAAAAGATTCGTATTAATACTTAAAAGTCAATTTGAACTTTAATACCATACCATTAAATTTAAGTGTTAGTGGAGGGGTTCCGGGAAAGCAAAACAATTGAGTGACGTTAGTATCGTATAAATATTAATCTCAATATTTGTCAATATTTATACACACTGGCAGATAGCTGATGTTATAAGGAGTAACTTGGGCTGCTTTTATTTTATGGTTCCGCGAAAAATAACTCCACGCGGCCGAAGTCGCGGGGAACAGCTAGTTTTTAATTGAAAAATGTTCAATTGCTCCACTTTTATATTTAGTTAGTTTAATTAATTTGGTGGATAGCTTTCATTAGCAAAAACGGGCACTCGTCACTTAATTGTAGTATACCGTTACCGTTATCGTTAAAGCCTACTAAAGTCCACTGCTGAACATAGGCTTCCCCTATAGATTGCCTCATAGAGGGATATTTGCCATAGTTTCCATGCTTGGCAAGCGCAGTGTTTTATTTTTAGTCGTTATTAGGGTGACGCTGTTGCCCATCTCCTGATCTAGTTCTCTCTGTCGCCTCTTACGACACCCACCGAGAAGATATGGGGTAGTAGGTACTATTACACCGCCACTACACGGTACACATACAGATGACACAAAAGTCAAATGCCTGAATATCACGATATTTTCTACGATAGAACAAGTTCAGCTCAATATTTTCATTATTTTTTTTAAATAGAATATGGGTGATAAACGAGCACACAGTTCACATGATGGTAAGTAGATGTTGTAGCCCACAGATATCTACATCTATCCTCAATTAAGAATTAAAATGCAAATGCGTTGCCACTCTGGTATGCCTCTTTGCCAGTAAAAAGGGTCTCAGCTTCTCTACACTCACCACTTCACACAGTAATATTAAGCTGCTATTTTACGCTGTCGGTATTCTGTGAGAGCATGGTCCTTAGCCGGTCGAGCCGACCCATATGTACTACAACCATAATAGCTACAGCGTGGTTCTACCATGTAGATTAATTAATTCATTACAGCCTATCATAAGTGCATTGCCGAATATAGGCCTCTTCATAGATTTCCTCACAGGCATTTGCCATATTTGCCACGTATGGCAAGCGGATAAGTAACCGCATTTTTTATTACTGTGAGGTGTAATCAGGGTGATACTACACCCACGGGATGATGTTATGAGGTAGTGAATTCTCTTACACCGTAAATGCGCGGCAGTGTACCGAAGAATTAAAACTCGACTACAGGAACTATCAAATGGAAGTTATATTATTGTTTATTGAAATCGGTTTACCTTTGTTTAAGTTTAATTATTTTAAGTAGACAAGTTCAAGCTTACAACTAGAATATCGTAACATTAAAAACTTCATTCCCTATTTTCCGCACATTTTTAACGTGGGAAAGCCACGCCGCAGTTATAGTTATATAGCACGGATAGTCGGTAGGGCCGACCCATCCGTGCTATAACTATCCACCATCCACCGACTTTCATAGAATACCAGCGTAAAATAGCAGCTTGATGTTACTGTGTTTCGTATGGTGAGTGATGAGAACCGGAGATCCTTTTGCTGGAAGCGAGGCATTCCATTTTAGGAGTGACAAAGCATCTGCATTTTGATTCTTAATTGAGTATAGTTAGATGTACTTATGATAAGTGGATCAGGCTACGGTATCCACTTAACATCAGGTGCACAGTGTACTCGTTTGTCTCATTTATTATCTTCATATTATACTTACTACTCCTTAATACCATTTATAATACAAGGTTATTTTTCATAGAGTAGTAAAATTTCAAACTTAAGTTCATATATATAAATAATGATAAACTAAGTTGAACCTTCTAATTTTATTTGAAATTATCCCAAATTGAATGTGATTTATGGGCAACGACATGTTTGGCTACCTATCGACCTTTACGAAAGTGTGCGTGCGCAGTAAAATCAGTTGCAATGCAATACCACGCATTTTGAATTTGAAAAATAAAAAGGACAGAATGTTTGAGATTTTTTAATTAATTTTTTTATTAACCATTTGCCTATATTAATATATAAATCTATTATATAAATAATCTAATATATAAATATATTAACCATTTGCCTATATTAATATATATATATATAAAAAATATAATCTCTGCAAATTTGGCCGGTTATTGCGAAACAACCCTGTATAAATAAAAATGAGGAGAAAGTAATAAATAGTTGTGTATCGCTAGCAACGCAAAGTCGGGAATTTGCATTTGGAAAAATCCAAAATTAGGGGCTTTTTAGGTGCTAATTAGGTGCCAAATTTAAAAATTAGGTGCTCTAAAATTTTCACCGCAACGAACTGCTGAAATTTGCGTTGCTAGCAAAACGTCTCGCTAGCAACGCAAGGAATTTATTAGATATACGATAAATATTAATAGCAAGGAATTAAGTGCTAATTAGGTGCTGCAAATATACACAATAACAAGGCTCCCCTAATAAAAATAAAGTCGTTATTCAGAACATAGCAGATGCAAAATTCAGATTTCCTGAAAATCAAAATAGAATCAAAATTGCTTTCAGAAAAAGTCCAAATTAGGGGCTTTTTAGGTGCTAATTAAGTACCAAGTTTAAAAATTAGTTGCTCCAATATTTTCACCGCAACGAACAATTGAAATTTGCGTTGCTGGCAAAACGTATCGCTAGCAACGCTGATGACGTTACTAAATATACGATAAATATTAATAGCAAGGAATTATGTGCTAATTAAGTGCTGCAGATTGATTATCGAAACCCGATACAGATTACAATATTATTCTGGGAATTAATATGGGTTCCACGACCATCATTACCTTACTATAATGTATGAACAGTATTTTTTGTTCTTTATCAGTTCCTAAATATTAAGTGCTAATTAGGTGCTGAAAGATTATTGAGGTCGCATGTAGGTAATATTCTGGAAATGATCGGATTTAAAACCACCATTACCTTACTATATGGTATGAACGACATTTTTTGTTTTTCAGATTTCATATGATTATATTTGAAAATGGTTGAAAATTGGTTGAAAATTATATTAAATTATATTATAGATTTATAACATTATTTAATATAATTTTCAACCAAATAAATGTTACAATTCTTATTTTTAGACATGTGAAGCCTAAACTTTAGTGTACTCGAAAGGATATTTTCTTTCCAGTAAATTGCTTTGTAATAAATAGCGCCAGCTACAACGTTCTATAGTTCTAGTCATTTTATCAAATCAAAATCGATGGACTCTCAAGGTGGTAAGTAGGATAGACGCTAGATGGCACAAACACAAAGACTTAATGTTTTACGTGGTAGAGCCATGCTGCAGCTATATTATGGTTGTAGCACGAATGGGTCGGCTCGACCGGGGAAGGACCACGCTCTCACAGAATACCAGCGTAAAATAGCAGCTTAACGCTGCTATGTTTCGTATGGTGAGTGTAGAGAACCGGAGACCCTT